GTTCGATTTATCGCGCCCAGACTAGACGCGATAAATCGAACCCAGAAGTTCGATTGCCTGCCGCCGAACCAGCGCGGTAAGTATAGACAAGCCCTTAGATTGACTTACTTCGCGTCCTTGCGGTACAGGATTGACGGCCGCCGCTCCCCCGTCAACTCCTCTTCCGCCTCCCGCTTCCGGAGTTGACGGGGAGCGCGTTCGGGCATCGATTTATTGCATCTAGATGAGACGCGATATATTGATCCCCGATAGATCGATTACTACCTGCCGATCCAGTGGGTAATGTAGACGTACCCTCAGATACCATGTCATGCAGATAAATACTGTGATGGGAATGATATAAGAACTAGAACAGCGTAGACATGTAGTCCCTACCACAGTAGTTTGACCATGAAAAACAATCTAGTTGTGTCACTAGCTGACAAATATTCTCTTGTTTTTTTTTTTTCTATTTGGGGTTGCTCAACCCACCAAACAATGATCTCAAGAGGAAGGAACACACAGGAAAGTTCTCCCAAAGTTTCCCATATTTCCATGATTCTCAGCACTTAAGACTTCTTATTTGAAAAATATTACTTGCCCAGAGAGAATTGTGGTTTTTGCTTTGCTTGTTTTGTTTATTTATTACTATACCAATGTATATTCTTATTTAAAATATTCCGAACACAACAGTGTGAAGTAGTTCTTGATGAAATATTCAGGATATTTTCTTTCCTTGTATTATGGTAAACTACAAAAATGATCCAATTGTCACAACATATTCATGGATACTTAGAAAGCTTGTGCTCTTAAAAATTCCACAAAACAGCTTATGTTTGTTCTGTGTGTCTCAGCTTATTTCAATTTCATCTTTACTTCTTGTCAGATGAGAGTATTGCACCCTGTAAGTTTTCTGTTTTAGTTACTGAACAGTTTGTATTATGCTATTGAAGCAAATGGACCAGTAGAGGGAGTATGAACCTATAGTTCTCCTTTGAAAGTAGAGTGAACTGCTGGAACAGATTTGGGCTTTTTACAATTTTAAATGAAAGTTTATGTTTGACTGGGTATATTTTCCCATTGATTCTTC